GTCACGTATGAAAAATGGCAAAACAAGCCGAGATGGACAAGCAGGGGTTGTGTGTCGAATTTTTGAGTCAAGACGAAGGAATGCCACCATCTGATGATTAACTATGGTGTAAACCTTGGATGGAGCGTGCTGTCTCACACACACACACACACACACACACACAAAGGTGCCCATCAGGAATCAGCGTTATCCAGCACGTCCCAGCTTGTGATCTCCGTCCTCAACATTCCTCGGGGATAATGAGAGCGCTGTGCCAGTGTGGCGTGTGTGAGGTTAATACTATGATTCACATCGGTAACATTTTGTTCAGCAACAGTGTGATTTACGATACTCAACATTTCACAGTGTGTTCTGCGTGTCGTGGTTTCAGGGCGACAAAGTAGAGTACGAATATGGACGTGCCTCAGATTCCAAATAAACTGAACTGTTCAGCAAATTATTCGAATGAAAGGTTAATAATCTGCTTTCCATGTTATTCACTGTAATGAGCAACAATGTTTTGTGAGATCGAGGCGTGTTTGGTTTGTGACTCTCACGTTTGCAGGAGTCGGGGGCGGTTTGCGGTCGCTGGGCGTCTCTGTAGAAGCCGGCCTTGCATTTCTGACACTGACGTCCCTCGGTGTTGTGCAGACAGTCACACACGCCTCCGCTGCGCTGGCCGGACTCGCGCCACGCCGACCAATCGAAGTGGCATCTCTGAGCGTGTCCGTTGCACTTACACTCTGGAGTGAGAGGACATTTACTTTGTTAATGTACTTTACTTTCGGGTACTTCTGACTTTTATGTATCTGTAAATATCTGTACCTTTTACTCCAGTACATTTTTATTAGAAAAAAACAGAAAAGCAGGACAAGCAATGATGTCTGCACGTTACACAACATCGCTCTATGTTCCAGTGGTAGACAACGCGTGGGCGTGTTTGCTCGACTCACTCCGACATTCGTGCGGCGCCCCTGTCAATCCGTCAGCGGGCTGCCAGGGTCGGTCGTTGTAGAGCGGAGCGCAGAGTTCACAGTGATCACCTGCAGTGTTGTGTCTGCACACACACTTCCCATGGACCTGGGGGGGAGACGGAGAGAGAGAATGAGAGAAAGGAAGAGAAGGGGAGAGAGAGAGAGAGAGAGCTCATTAGCGACAGGAAGTATGATAGACAAAGGTAGAAGGATGGAAGGAACAAAGAGGTCAGTGTGATGGAGAGGACAGTATCCCTCATGAGGACACCTGCTGGGGGTGAAGACTTTACTCTTCCTCCAGATTCCTCCCTCACTCTCACAATTTCTTCATCTCTCCTGCCTTTTCCATCTTCCCTTTCTTTCCCTCCTCTTCCTCTGGGTTTCCTCCGATTTTTCCTTATTTCCTCTCGTTCCATCTCTTTCTCGTCCTCCCTCGCTTGAAATTAGTGAATTAGTGAGATTGATTGTTTGGCTTCATCGCTGGAAACGAGAATGGGCCTCTGCTCTGAAAAGCCTGTGTGTGTGTGTGTTTGTGTGTGTTTGTGTGTGTGTGTGTATGAGAAGAGTGCAAGTATGCGGTGCTGAGAGCACAATAACAATCTCCTTGTCATTCCTGCGAGTTGGAATGCCATGCATGCTGGATAATGATTGAAGGAGGGGGGCGGGAGAGGCATCTGAGGAAGCTCTTTATTTGTTTGCGTTACACCGTGCCACTGTAATGTAGGACACACAATTATACAACGATTACAGAGGTAGACATAGAGAACGACCTCAGACGCACAAGAACACACAGCGATCCTTGCATCCGTTTCCCACGGTGTGTGACGTGTCACCAACTCCTGAATGGCTCCGACTGGAATTAAACACGTCCATACATCCGAACATGTCCTCTACCTGAACTGACCCCAGATCAGTTGTGTGGTATATGGCCCCAAGCCCACATGACTGATTTTACACACACATCACACTCCATTTCAGTCCCCACTAATGGGGGGGGGGGGGGGGAGTTGCATAAGTGAGAGGTCCTGGCACATGGGAGGCAGCAGACCTGATGACACATATTGTAAAACACCAAGTAATTCATGAAAGAGTCCGGAGCGCAGACAAAAAGCGGACAGGGAGGAAGGGGAAAGGGCCGGCAGCCTCTGGCTCGAGTCCAGACAGCTGGTATTTCAGCCCATTTCACATGTTTACCATAACGTGATACGGGACAATTAACACATGTACACAGTGAGAGCTGCCCACACGCAATCATGTAAAGTCGGCCATGCAGAGGACACAGCAGGGCTGCACTGATAGGACGCTGCCGATGGATACAGGATCATTTCAGTTTCACACGTGAAGCCAAAATATTATTTTGAACTACTAAGACTGTTCTGTTGCTCTATCCAGCTTTTGTGTTTGTTTGTTTAGGCAAAAACAACTGAGTGGATTCCCACGAAACTTTGTGAGAGGAGTCAGCATGAATCAGGGAAGGGCCCACGTGTTTTGTGTGAGGGAATAATTCATGCATCTTCATGGGTAGCAGATACCCAACTACTTTTGTCTTGAGGGTTTGATTGTCCGCACCAATCGTGTGTCGGTCTCAGCTGTCAATCAGGAGGAGTCACCGTGTTGTTATGGCATCAAATAATATCAAAACCAAACTTACATATACAAACATGTATATGTGTATTTTGACTTTTTAATTTGGTCCATGTCCCACATCTGTTGATATTATCAGTGGTAACGAGTCTGTGTTCAGACAGACTGTCTCATTTGAATGGCGACAGCAGAGTGTCCCATCCAGAGGAAAAAATACTTATGCGAGGGAACGGTCCAGGTGGAATCATTTGTTTCTTCTGTTTACCTCGCAACGGTTGTGCTGGAAGATTAAATGATAACTTTCCAGACTTGTAAAATCCTATCTGTGATTGTTACCACTCCTACCGGCATTTAAACAACACTCCCCTGTGCACCAACGCAGCCCCCTGCACCTCGGCCTGAATCCCTGCAAACTATGAATAGCAATGTGACCTTTTATGTGTAATACCTGTGGAGTAGAAAGAGAGAGGATGAAAGTAAGTGCCAGACAGATGTAACTAGAGGGTAGAAAGAAAATAAACAAACATGCATTTTGGTTCAGCTAATTGCTGCAAATGCTCCAGTAGATAGCCCTGGATGTTATTATGTGTGTGTGTGTGTGTGTTGGCTTTGTGGCTAACTAACAGACAGTGTAATCACCCTGAACCGCAAAACCCCATGTGGGGGTCCAGCAGCACACAACAACAACAACAAACAGACCGACCCCTTCATCCCTGCTCGGTGTCTGGGCAGTAATGACTCGACGTATCAGGGTGACTTTCACCGCTGATTACTGCACACACACACACACACACACACACATGGACACACTCGCACGTGCACAATCTCAGAGTAGACAAAACATTGCACGCTTAAACACACACACCTCACACAACCAGCAGACCAAACAAACAAGATGTACTGTACATATATGAGGCGGGCGATTGCTTGTATAATCCTGCGGTGCATGTTTAGAGTGAAAGAATAAGAACTAAGCTTTGGGAGGTCACATAAGTTTACAAAAAAGCAAAAATATTTTTAAACGCACACGCCCTTCCCTTCCCTGAGTGATCCGTTATCTCTGCCCTCATCTCCTGTCTTGTGCTGCGCTGCTTGTTTGGGTTTTGCCAGTAACAGTGGCTCTGGGTCGAAACAGAGATGCAAAAACAAGCTGCTGATAGGCGGGAAAAGCCACTTATATAACATGTGTGTGTTTACCGAAGGCTCCTGCATGCATGGCACACGGCACAGCGGCGCTCCGATGACCTGAGGTAATGTTGTTGTGAGGGCCGGTTCAGAAGAATTCGCTGTTTGAGCCTCGGGCCGCAGTCGCGGTAATGTTGTCGTTAGAAACAGAGATGAACGATTAAAATTAAAATGATTTAGAGTTACTGTTATTACTGTGATCCTGGCGTGCAGAGTGGAGTTTCACAGTGCGGAGGTTTAAATACTCTTTCAGAGGATTTTCTACCCTCAAAAGAAGGAAATCCTCATGAAAACTCCCAGTAGAGCCACTTGGAATTTCTTGGCATGAAAACAGTGAGATTTAAAAGATCCAAAGACTGAGTCCAATTCGCTGGCTATCAGCAGCTTCATTACAAAAACACTGGTATCGGCAAAGAAAACACCAACGAGTCTTCTTCTCGTTCGTTCACGTGACATGCCGAACATTTTCTCTGTTCCACACGAGAGGGAAGTACGAAGCAGAATCCAGGCTTCAGCTGAGTTGTGCTGGATTTAGTTGGTTTTCATTGTTTAATGCAGCAAATAATTGGTTGAATAACTGAAAAGATCTTGTAAGTAGAGGATGTCTAACGGCAACTTTGATAAGAACCACAACCCGCCACAAATCTCTATCATTTTAGATGTAGAAAACTGTATCAGACCTTTATTATAGAGCAAACTGGACAAGGCGATGCATGTTAGTCATTCGATATTTGATGTTTTCAGAGCAATTCATTTATGAAAACATGTTTTTAAGCCTCGGGGACAGAGACAGCCAGTGGTCTGAGGCTTTATGTTTTCAGGTTGTCCCATTTAATGTCTCAAGTAGGACATCTTTTCAACTTTGGTACAACAGTTAACTTGGACTCAAGGGTGAACTGATTTGATTTTAGCAGTCAAAGGTCAAAGGTCAAGGTCGCTGTCTCATTAATGTGCTGTCTACAAGTATTAACTTAGACTCACAGAGTCCGTCAAGTTTCAATGAAACTGTCTCCGTAAGTTTTTTGTAATCCTGTAGAATCAAAACTGAGTTTAGAAAATATGTTTTCTAAACTGTCAAATAGTTACTTTGCTAGTAGTCCTAAAACTCCACGCGCAGTGAAGCTTTACCACTGTACAAATCATTTCTTTGCTTATATAAATCGTAAAGGAAACTCCTCGTTGACTCTCACTTTCCCTGTCGAGCTTCGCTGATTGCAGCGGAACAGACGCCCGGATTCAAAGTCATCCAGCGTTTCTGTTTGTGCAGATGGCTGCGATAGGAGCCCGGCTCCGTAACACTCGCAAGATCTCCAGCAAAATCATTCTCTGTTCACACCTTTGTCAACACACGCACACACGTTCAACCCCGTCATTAATCCTGAATCTCCATCTCTTGGGTTTGTTATCAGCGGGGAAGCAGCTGTTTATCTGAGCAGGAGAAAGAAAAGTGATCCCCTCCTTTAGACTGTTATTGAGACGACTGCCAACACAAAGTGAACGAGCCATTTGGCCGGAAAGTATCAAGAACTTTAAACTTGATTTCTGCAGAACAAGAGAAAAACCCGCCCATCAGGATACTTTATGAAACCTGAGGAATGCTAAGAGACTCCAGAGTGGTGCATTAGAGAAACAGTGTGAGAGTGTTGGTCTGTTTGAAATTAAATTACTGGTATAGATTTTTGTCCTTATGGTTACTTACTCAATTTTTCCAGAGCTCTCATTCGACTTATCTAGATCTACAGATTTATTCTTTCAAGAGATTCCAACCACATCTCATGGTCCTCATTTGTGGATTCAATTGTCGGGGAATTAAACAGGATAAGTCTAAGTCAAGACCAGAGTTAACACTTGATGACAAGTGAACCAATGCCATGAAACTCTATGCGCTCATGAAAACCATGAGATGTGGTTGAAAGCCCCACGAAGAGCCAGTGAAGGGACCTTGACTGAGAAGATACATTTTTTAAACTACTTTTCCAGTTGAAGAATGAAAGTAAAAACCATCCAAGAGGTTTTAAAGACTTTAAATTAGATGTAAAAAGATGTTATAGTGAACAAATGCACCGTTAAAGAGCCAATCTTTGCTCCTCTCTTACCACATGGTTGGTGCGGTCTCTAATGGGTTGGTATCTCGGAGCAGGAACGCACTGCTCAGCGTGTCCGTTACAGAAGCAGCTTCCCTTCACTATCAGGTCATAGATGGCAAAGTGTTGGGTCGGAAGAGCTTCGTGTGCGGAGGCAGCGTCTTTGGCCTGGCAGGGACACGACTGGCGCTTCAACAGCCGAACGCGAATGTTGGTCACCCTCAGCTGCTGCTGACCCTCCATTCCGAACGGATCCAGGGACTCCCACTTTGGGAGAGTTCGGTAGATCACCTGTTGGACAAGAAGAGAGTTGAGTAAAAGGTTGATCAAATTCTTGACAGCACAGAGCAGCAGAGGAGACTCTTGATTTAAAGGGATTAAACTGAATGAACTCAGGGACAGAATCAGGTCCAGTGATGCTGCTCATGTCACAACATCCGTCAGGTTAATGGTGGTTTGTTCTTACGCCATTCGTGCAGTAAACTATGACCTCACATGACCATGAGGGCACCGGGTGTCCTTAAATCATTGCACCCAACCTTTCTACACCCCCCCCCACCCCTCTCTCTCTCGTCCCTCTCTCTCCCTTTACCCTGTCTGGTCCCTGGACATCCTTCAAATTGAAGATCCCTTTGTGGGCTGCCTTCGCCATGGCTACTGCTGCCACTAGCAACCAACACCGCTGCTGTTGTCACGGTGAAAAAGTTGGTGTCTGCCCCAGCTCTCGCTGTGAGAGAAATGTGTGTTTGCGGAGTCTCTTCACAAAAAAAGTGTGTGTTTTCATTGTCACTGGCGAGCTGACACTGATATCATTCGATGGGTTGTGTGCAAGTGTGCGTATGTGTGCGTGTGTGTGTGTTTTCTTGAGTTGGAGCGTATGTTGCGATGCAAGCAAAGCCCCCATGCGGCTCCCTGATTGGCTGGATGAACGTTATGGGAGGAGCACTATTAATTTCCCTGTTGTTGGAGAAGGTCACGGGGTCACAGTATTGTGGTCCACAATTAAGAGAACACGACAAATAGGACGAGGGGCACCGGTCCGCGGGAGAGCACGGAGAGAGCAGGGCCAGACAAAGATGGGGACGGAGATGCAGCTTCACATAACTCAGGGGCGGACAAAAGATCAGCGACAGCCCGGCGACACCACAGTAACACCAGCACTCACACACAACCACACTGGCATGCACGCAAACACACACAAATTTACACACCACAAATTCCACAAGAGGCCTTCTTGCAGCTTCTACAACACAGAGTCGTTTCCTTTGAATGTGAAGACTAAATATATTCGTATTCGCAAATATGCAGATGAAATTCATGTTTCTGTTAATATGTGTCCTGGATAGATTTGAGTCTGGGGACACCCCGGGACTCTGTAAAGTTTCTGACCACTAACGTCACTATGAAACCGCCTTGTCGCATTTATCGTACACAACATTACTGGTTTCTTGCCATTCCACAGACTCTCAGTTGGTGGAAACTTAGCGGTGCATTAGCATGGCTCAGGAGCTCGGAGGTTTGATCCCTGGCTCCTTCAGAATACATGTCATAAGCTGCTTTCAGACACTGAACTCTGGACTTTCTGAAAACGGCTATAATGCCCAGAGACAGACCCAAATATTGCCCCAGATGATGTAACATCAGTGTTATTGTGCTACGCATATAACTAGCTCTGTTTGAACGTGTGAGGGAATGGGTAAATGCGACAGGGCAGTTTTTTTAAGATAAAATTTAAAAAAATCTCTGTCCATTTGGGAAAAAAATGGGAAAGACAAAAGTTGCATGGATGTAAACAATACAAGTTTCAAGATATTAAAAATATGAGGATAATCGTTCATTTGGACACATGTCAGCTTTTCAAATTTCAATTGAGAAACGTGGAAGATATTAATCAGTAGTGTCACTCTAGTGTTGACAGCACTTACTGTAGGTGAAGGTTTTATTCCTGCTTTTAAATATAAGTATATATGAGCCACTTTCTAATGCACTTGTGTTTTCTTCCCCTGAAGCAGTGGGTTCACTGTAGGCCATGTGTCCTCTCCTAATCTTTCTTCCTGTTTCAGGCAGAAAAATAGAGTAAGACTGGCTTTCACCGGCCTAATTCCATCAAAGCACTGTGGACTGTAATCTGGTAAACAGACACAATGGGCATTGATGGAAGGAGAAAGACAGAGAGAGAAACAGAGAGGGGGGATGGGTGTCTAGCCAACAGTACCAACATCCATCAGAGCAACGGCACTTCCTTCCCAGCCAACAGATGGAGAGCCGACTGTATGTGTTTATTTGAAAGGGCATGAAGGAATGTGTGTGTGTGTGTGTGTGTGTGCGCTCAAGGAACTGTGGAAAAGAGAAAGAAAATGTGTGTGTGTGTGTCTCACTCTCTTCCCTAAGGAGTTCAGTCTCTACAACAAACACTCACATTCTTCCAGTCCAGCTGACCTCGTAAATAACACACACACACACACACACACACACACACACACACACACACACACACAGGTGAACATGAAAAGCGTTCCACTCAAGAGATGACACGCACTAATGTTTGCAGTAGAAACACGAGAGGCAGAAAGCTGAGAATACCTGCTGACTGTAATCACTCACAGCTTCACACACACACACACACACACACACACACACACACACACACACACACACACACACACACACACACACACACACACACACACACACACACACANACACACACACACACACACACACACACACTCCGGCAAACTTAAAATCAAGTTATAAGACAGATGATGCGTCTTTTAGTTGATAATATTAAACCTGTTCTATATTAACTTGGAGAAAGCTTGATGATAACTTTCTATAAACACACTTAAAAAGTCCAAGGTCATATTCTCCTTTGATTAAGATGATGATTAATAATGAATAACCCTTAAACCCTGGGGAGATGTACAGTAAGTGTCTGAACTATAGCAGGTGCACGTCCATACTTTCAGACACAAAGTGAGGCCCTGCAGCCCTGACGTTCACTCTGTGCAGTATAAGGTTTTGTTACTGTCATTATACGTGACGTGCAATCACAGCAAACACACAGAAGAGTGAAAAGTGTGAACAGCTGAGCAGCAGCAGCAGCAGCAGCAGCTGGGCTGTCAGAGCGCTACTTGAACTCTTTTAACCCCCAGGTCATCAGCTGAGGGGTTAGAGGACGAAGGTCGCGCTCTCAGCACAGAAGCTAAAGTGAAGCAGAGGCAGAGAAGGAAAAATCTGTCGCTATTTTCACAGCGTCATGCACAAAAGGATTAGAGCTGCAAAGGTTAGTTGATTTCCACATCTGGTTTGTTTGTTAGTTCTCAGGATGAGGCAAAAACTACTGGACAGATTAACGAGACACCTGGTGAAGGATGCCGTGTGTGGAAGGACTTAGAGTTTGGGAGTATCCGAACAAAGGTTTTTTCCACTTTCTTTACCACTGCAAGATAAAGTGCTTCTTGACGTTTTCACCAGTGTCACAGGAAATAATTCATGTATCTTGATGAAAGAAATGTGAAGCAGCTTGATTGAATCTAAGGGGACTGTTGGGCCTCAGAGCAGGAATGTGCTCCTCTGAGAGCGGTTCTGTGTTTCAACTCCTTGAATATGATTCTTTTCTTTGTCACATTCAACAGTAAAGTCAATTTCTTGGTCAGACATAACAAGACATCTTGAACAAGTCACCTTGAACTCTGGGAAATTGCATCGGGCAGATTGATCGATAACCGCATACCACCTGCAACACCTGCATACCAAGAATTTAGCAGGACTCCAAAACACAGCAGGAGTGTGTAGAGGAAGATTTACGATCCTACAGCAGAACAAGTCCGTAACAGCTGTCGGAGAGGCGTTGTGGAAGCGAGGGCCCGTCGACTGACGGCGTAAACACACATCGCATAAAGGAGCGCTGCAGGGAGGCCGGAGCAGCACCACGCTTGGCATGTGCCTCCACACACATCTGCAGAGCAGCTCCCGACACACACGGCTTCCATTAAACATCAGTGGACTTCAGGAAGCCCTCTCGTGCTACAGTCAAAGTACGCCTATTAAACACTCACTCATGCACATGCACACACACACACACAGACATCTTCCCCCCCACCTGGCTGCTCCTTGTTTTTACTCAGTGTGCTAAGTGCTCCGTATGACTCTTGCATGTTGCGTGACTTACAGCAGAAAGAACCAAATTCGTTCCAGAGGAAGGGGCGATGGGGGAGGGGGAGCACTTTGATAGTCGGAGAAGCTCGAGCCTCTCGTGTGTCCGGTGGTTTATCATACATGATGGCGTGTTTGTCAGAGGAATTAGTGTTTTCTTTTTTTACACATTGTACTCAATCACTATGTACTTTATATGTTATTTTAAATTATCGAGTCTTTCTTGCTCTTTCAGAGTTTTTCTACGTCTTTTACCTCCAGCAAAGAGTTCATATTTTCATCAGCACTTGTTTTATGTGTTTGTTTCCAAGATGCAAAAACTACAGGATGTATTACCATGACACTTGGTCTAAGGATGCTCTGTGGGTCTAGGAAGAGCCCATTGAATCCTGCTGTAGAACCAGATGAGGGGGTGGATCCAGGATTTGTTTTTGTCATCTCTATATCATCATCTATAGTAAAGGGATGAAAATACTTGGGAATCAAAGTCCCAGAGTTAAGCTAAGATAACCTGTGTATCGAGCAACTGATCTGATTTTCTTTACAGAGCAGCAAAACAAACAGGGCATTCATTGCATTGTGTTGTTTCAAAATAGAAAATCAACAGCGCCACCTGACACCTGACTGAATGTTGTCTTTCACACTGTTCAAGTCTTTGTCTGATGCACAATGTCCTGTAAATGCATGAATCACGTCCTGGGAATCCTCTGTGGGAAAGATGGACTCCACCAACAAAAGCTTCTATAAAGAGGATTCTTACTCACTGAATGCCTATTGTCATCGGATGATAAAAAGATAGAAAGCGTTATACACTGTACAGACTCACACACAGTTTCTAAAGACCCAGTGCCTCCTCCTCACCTCTCCTCGGTTGCACGGATAAGCCCCTGAGTATTTGGATGTGCAGGTTGCCCCGTCCCGACCCGCTCCCGCCTTTCCCTCCTCCAGCCCGAAGGCGTCGCTGCAGTTGCTGGCGTAGTACTGCAGCATCCTCCACGTACGCCCAAAGTCCTGCGACCGCTCCAGGGTCATGGCGGCGGGCCTCGGCGAGCGAAACACGACGATGAGGTGCGTGAAGTAGAACTCGGCCTCTAGGTCTAGCTGCACCGTCTCAGACTCCACCCCCTCAGCCGACTGCCACCAGGTGTTTGGGTGACGGAAGGAGGAGTCGGACATGGCCCCGGCCAAGTGGGACAGGAGCGGCAGGCCGGCATTGCACTTGGCACATTTGGCGGCGCTGCAGGCCAGGTTGGCGTTGGGGTCGGAGTAGGAGCAGTAGAGCTCGGTGCCATTGTTGCCGCAGACGGTCTGAGTCAGGACACGGCGACCTAGGGCCAGGTTGCCCATGCGGGGGTTGCAGGCCCGGCTCTCGCAGCGAGGGGCCACACCTGCACGAAACATCTCCACCGACAGACCTGGATGGACGGAGAGAAAATAGGCAGAGACGTTTACACATGTACTTGGCAAATATGGGCTGAGGTGACATAACTGCAGAAAAAAGAGTGAAAGCGTGGGTGTCAGGTGGGAACGACAAGGTGTGGCGCTCAGCTTAAAGGGTCAATCCACTCAAAGAGCTGAGCCGAAGTGGTTCTTAACCATGCGGATAGATTTCGTTTGCCCAGGATTTGAGATATCTGAGATGTTTGCCTCCCTGATGCTCTGAGTAATACAAAAATTTTACTGTCATCAGTTTCTCCGGTGGAAAGTTGAAGTAAACGTTTCAGAGAACGAATAGAACGAATAGAATTACAGAAAAGATGAGATACCAGTAGAGATAAGTGAGAACGTTGGGTGAAGAGGGATCCAAACTGCATTAAAGCCAATTTTAAAGGTTAATTTAATAGAAGAACATTAAGTACAAAGTTTATCCTCTCAGATGATAATTCTGTGAACTTTGTGCAATGATTGACCGTATTAACCAATACAAATATCTAGTTGGGCAGCACTTACTGACCTACTTTGACCTCAGGAATTTAATCTTTGGGTTTGGAGGTTTTTGCCTATTTTCTCACATGACGTCCGTGAAAACCCACTCATCTGAAGTTACGGTAACGTGTGTGTGACGGTGAGTGGATGAGCTGAGGAGAAGAGTGACTCAGTGAGTGTGTGCACAAGTCAAGTGATTCACCTCCAATCGGAAACGTTATGCAAAAAGGGATAATAGAGGCATTGTGCACCTGCCTGCTGCAGACTGGAGCCGTGCAGCGTGGACTCTGACACAGATAGAGTTTGGCAGCTCAGGGAGGATGAGCAGCGTTCAGACGCCTTCCAGACGCTTCTCAACCCTCCCTGAGGGGCCAAAGTGTCATCTCCCTAAGTGGATTCATTATCTCCAACCTGCAGCTCTCTTTGTTTTTCATGTCAGAGACCTCACAGGTTGACTTATATTAAATCTGAGAGGCTGGATTAATTTTACAGGAAGAGGTTTTTTTTTCTATATGCTAGACTGGAGTTCCTGCTCAATTACATAACTGTCTATAGGTGATGGGGTCATGAGAGTTTAAAACACAATCATCATTCATGTTTTTTCAGACATTGTGGTCATTAACACAGTGAAATCTTATATTGAAGAAGTTTTATATTATACTTGATGTTAAGGCCCCTAACGTGAATGAAAACAAAAGTTAAACTTTCCTGTTTTCTAATACAAAAGTTCCATTGAAATTATTGAAATTTAGCAACAATGACTTTCACACTCATTCAGTATTGTTCTCTTCTTCCAGTGGATTAAAATGAAAACCGTTGGTTCATATTTCAATGAATCATCTTAGAATAAACTCCAAACTTTTAAAAACATGTGACTTCATGGGTCAGAACTAAATTAAACACTCTGCAAGACAAGAGGTTAAATTGGCTGAAAAGCAAAGCGACTTCTGCATTGATGCACTTGTCCCTGAGCAGCAGAAACAATAAACTATAATAATGTAAAAAAAATATATATATAAAGAAACACACACTGACCTGAATCTGACAAAAGGGCCACAGTGATCACCAGTAAAACCAACATGTCTCCTCAGAGGAAGAATAATCCAAAATATAAGACAAGAGGAAAAATACTTGTAAAAATTAAAGATTCATCAAAAACTAAAAAAGTCAAAGTGCGCAGGTTCAGATCCGGTGTGGACTTTCTCTTTCACTCAGCTGTGATCCAGTGCGGCGATAGGAGCCGCATGACGCCGGGCGCTGGGTGCTGGTGTCCCGCAGAGGGAGAGAGAGATCCGGGCAGGAGCAGAAGCGATGGTCGGGTCTGTGCGGCTCGTCTGCAGCTTCGGGACCCGCAGCGTGTTTCATTTCCCCGCAGTGTGAGCCCGCCGGTCCGCCCGCACATCTGACTGTGAGCGGAGCTGGTGGTGGGGACAGAGCCGAGGACCAGCTCCGCCCTCCGCCGACTTAAAGGAACATTCCAGTTTGGTGCATGGATGGATGGAGGGATGGATGGAGGGAGGGAGGGAGGGATGGAGGGAGGGATGGGTGGGGTGAGGGTGAGGGGGATTCAAACATGTGTGTGTGTCTAATGAGGTTCTACTTTACATCAACAGCAGCAGAACAGAACTGCTCTGTGAGAACAAGTGTTGCACTCAGAGCAGCAACCTGCAAAGTGTGTTCCCTAAAGTAGCAGCTTCAAAGTTTGAACTCTGTTTTACCAAAATTACAAGATTCTTTTATAAGCAGGTAAACCCCCTGAAAAAAAGGGGTCGGAAAGCAAAGTGTCGGAAAATGGCGAGTCAGAAACCAGAGTGTTGGAAAGCAACCAGCCTGAAAACCAACCACTGAAGCCTTTATGCAGATGTAAATATAAAGGATCTCCTGGGTATATTAATGTGAATGTTAAAGTTGGTAACGTTGTAGATGACTGATGGATGTGACTACAACTATTCACAGTTTACTGTAATACTTTATACACTGGTCATGTATCTGTATGTACTTGTGACTGTGTTACTACCTGGTCAACACGTGTCGTGGAGCCAAAAACACTAGACCCCCCCTTCATTTAGCAGAAATATAAAGTAGCACAAAGTGAAAAGAAGTAGTTAAAGTACTTCAATGAGTATCCGAGTACTTCGCACCACTGCTCAGAATAACATCGGTCCATGGCATGACACGGTGTGGGACCCCCTGCACCGACCACGTGGAGTCTGATGAAAAGCTGATGAGGTAAAAATGTGCTCATATCCACATTTCTGACTAATTGGCTTTGGGTGAAGAAACTGCTCACACACACAAAGTGATGCTGGACGAGCTGCTGACGCACTTTGAATTCCACTGATTGGTTCCTCGGCTGAACCCCGGCCGCGGCCTTTTGTTGACAGCATTGTTGGTGTCCGTACGAGAGCAGTGAAATACACGAGCTTTTTAATTCCAGATCTGCTTCCCACTCGACCGTCCGCTCCCAACAATGGCTGCCTTAATAAAAGAAGAAAGGGACAAGATGGAGGCATTGAGATGTGAAGAATCAACTTTTTAATCTTTATTATTCTAAAACCAGCTCAAAACGACCACACCTCGTGTTATGGTGATGACAAACTTCAGATTGTGTTCCAGCCTGCAGGAACAGAGTGAGACAGGAGCGTGCAGGCCGCAGTGTGCCCCCCTGTGCTCGGCAACGGTACAAAGAAAGAGCACAAGCGTTTCAGGTTGGAAACAGTTGCTGCAGGACTGTTCTTTCTGCTCGGGCCCACTCGGGTCAAGCTCCACTGAACACAGCATGGCATTGGCTTCTCTGTCTGCTGTGTAATCGGACCGTGACCTGCTTTCTGTGCATCTGACCCGTGTCCAATAAGCACTGAGCCAAACGAAACTATCTCACCTGTTCACTTTGTTCCGTCTGTCCTGATTCACTCAGCGGACTCTTTGTAAAGAGGTCTAAACTCTGGTTCCAGACTTCACGCTCGGATGAAGCACCTGTCTGTAGCTTCATGTGTAATGAGTCTGTGGTTGTTTTGTTTCCTGGACTGTTTTTAACGTCTTTATTTTCTGCAGAGTCACACAGACGTGAGAGTGATTTCAATCTTCTCCTCTTACACTTGCCAAGAAAGTGAATAAACCAAATTTCCTGACATGTCAAACTATTCCCTCAGGCAGGTGTAAAGTTTGTGATGTTCACAACCTCAGTGCAGCGTGTCAGTGGCTGATCTCTTTGTGGTCATTTAATGTTCGGTTGTTCTGCAGCTCTTTGTGACCACTGGAGTTATTTTATGTCTCTTTCTGGACTTATTTCGTGTCCTCTTGTGGTCGTTTTGTGGCCGGTTGCAGCTCTTTGTGATCATTTTAGGTCTCATTATGGCCGGTGGTTTCTTTTTCGATTATTTTGTGTCTCTTTGTGGCCAGTTATGTCAGATTGTTATCATTTTTGGTTTCTTTGTGGTTATTTTGTGTCTCTTTGTGATAATACTTTGTCTCTGTGGGTATCTTGTATCTCATTGTGGTCGCCGACACCCCTGGGTGCACTTCTGGCTCCCTGCTCTCGACCTACACCCACACACACGTTATCACTCTGCTGTAACTGACACATACGTGACTGACTGATGGGTCGGGTAATTATGTGAAGGACAACTCAGAGCGAGAGGGAAGAAAAATAGGCTGCATGATGTAAGGACTCAGGTATTTCAGACATGCAAAGAAAGTGCCAGTGCAATTTCAGAGGAATCCACTGAAAGAACCCAGCCCTGCACTGTAGGAAGTCAAATGTTAGTTTTATTCAAAGTATCGGGTTTGAACTTGTCCGATGCTTTAGTAACAGTCAAACGCTTCAACGCAGAAAAATGAGTGAAATCTTGAGACTGTTTGTGCCTGAGAGAAAAAGCTGTCGAGACAGAGAGCCGACCCAGATATGACAGTCTCCATTTTTACTCTTTAACAGGTCAGTGTTCAATCCCTGTGTAATTATCTGTCAGTAACGACAGTCAAACTGAGATGAAACATTCTATATATCACATGTTACACATATTTTACATACTAGTACATATCACACATTGTATTGATATGAACCAAGAGAAGAAGAATGACTATCATGAAGTAACATGAGGTAATTTTAATCAACTGTATGACTCAACTAATTGAGTAATAACCTAGAATCCCCTCAGAGCAAATACCTCCACCGAGGCCAAACAATCCTACACAGGATTCCAGCTCTTAAGAAGTGTTGAAAAAATGTTGAATAAGATTCTATCTCAAAATGTTAAAGAAGAAATGAAAGAAGAAACATTCCTGAATTCACCCTTAACCCACATCTACACCATAATTGACTTAATACGTCCTCGGTGAAAGTAACTAATCATTTCTGCTCGAATTTTGAAATTTATCCAGAAAAGGGTGTGAAAGTGATGGCACCAGAAGTAAATATACTTAAACACATAACCATAAAATCTGGTGGTAATAAGTAAATTCTTGGTGGTGATTTTTTCTTTTCTTTCTCTAAATTCCAACTAAATGCCTTTTGTTTGTCATTTCATTGTTACACAAATACTAACTTTATATTCACCTGCTCTATTTCACAGTGATGGAGGGAGTACTCAAACGTTTTACTTGAGTAAAAGTACAAATAGATAAACAAAAATCTACTCATGTAAAGTACCATTTAAACAGTTTTCCTTAAAAAGTACAAAATAAAACAGTACCTGTTTGTCAGTATACTTCATTATTAAAGAATAAAATGAGGGATTGCATTTAAAATTATTAATTGTAAAGTACTCGTGGAGTAGAAAGTACAGATATTTTCTAATAAAAGTGGAGTAAAAGTAAAAAATGTACAGTAAGAAAGTAAATGTACTTTGTCACATCCCACCATTGATTTAAACTCTATTTATTTATAATGCAATTATTATATACATATTATATATATATTATATATATATATATATATATATATATATATATATATATATATACATGTTTTTATAAATATTTATACTTGTATTCTATTTTCTGGTTATACTGTCTTTCTCCACTAAAAATCACTGAGCGCTTTGACCACTAGGTGGCAGTGTGTAAAAACCGGAACACTCGTCAGAGGTCAGAGTTTCTACTTCCTGTTCGGCGGTAAAGCGTGTTCTGGTTTGTGAGCCGCTAACGTTACAGTGACGAAAAACGGGGAATCGAACAATCGAACCAACGACGCGAGTTTGAAGTGAACTGAAGATGGTGAGTCGACGTGGTGGATGTTTAGCTGCAGCTCAGCGGAGATTCACCGGCAGAGTTTTTATTTTCACCGCGTTTCACGACAGTAGCCTGTTAGCTAGCTAGCTAGCTAGCATTAGCTTTGTTAGCGTCTCCTTTCAGAACTTCGACCGAATGAATGGATTCGTGAGATGAATGCGCACAAACAGCGTCTTGTGTTATTATAGTGAACTGAGATAAGACATCGAGTTGTATTCGTATTAAGTTTATTCGTGTATAACGATGTGATGGTACCTTTTAGTCTGACTCTCACCAAACTCCATTCAAAAAGCCTCTAATTTAACGAGCCAAGACTCGTCAAGCCCGAACAGAAGACTTCAAACTCGGTCAAGTTTGTTCCACGCAGACCCGCAACCTGTTTAAACTCATCCGCAACAGCTTGTTTGTGTCAGCTCCTTTCTTTACTATCAAAATAAAATGTTAGTAGTTCTCACAAAGCGTTGAGTTGCACTGGGTTAGCTTCACTGCACGAGCAGCTTCCACCCGGAATCTGGATTTAAACATAGTTTTGTCTTTGTCTCATTCATAGATTAAAACCTTCTCTCCGTCATATGTTGATAAAAGCTTCAATGATTTGATGTATTTAATAAGTATTGTGGGTAATAGTGTATTGGTGACAGTATAAATTCATGGTAATCCCATGTAGGTTAAACAGTAGTTGAGTAAAATGTAATTTCATTGTTTTCTCGTCCGCAGAGTTTACCTCTCAACCCAAAGCCCTTCCTGAACGGCCTGACAGGCAAACCAGTGATGGTGAAGCTGAAGTGGGGAATGGAGTACAAGGGCTACCTGGTGTCCGTGGATGGATACATGAATATGCAGGTAAGTGCAGCACAAAGAGGGAAACATGCTTTAACACAGAGGTCGGCAATGTCTGACGTCATGCATGTGTGCATCATAACAAAGCTGGTTTTGATTGTAAGCATCTTGCATGTTGTTTGATTTGAATTTGAGAGCAGCCTGACATTTAAAGAAATCCACCAGTTTGATGCCATCACAAATAAATCAGATAAACTGTATATTTTTAAAAGAACAGGACATGTATGTATTTATTCATGGAGGCAGCGGTTTTTTACTTTAACACAACCTGGAGTTGGCTGTTTATCTGATTTGCTTCTGCAGTTCCTCTTGTAGATGTTATGAAGTGTTTGTATGATGTGTTATATTGTGTGTTTGGAATTTAATGTCTCTATATGTATATGCCCGCCCTTTGCACAAACTGCATACACACGTAGAAAACCAGCACAGAAAGATGTTCACAGAAATGATAAAGAAGGGTAGATCAAGTGTTTTGCCTTCTGGATCAGCACCCTTCTGGGTTTTTTTTGTGATATATAAAACATCAGTCGTGACACTAAAACATTAGAAGAGTTAACTGTGAACACGCGTCCTGATCATGGCCCTTTGACATATTACATGTTTTCCTGACAGCTGGCAAACACGGAGGAGTACGTGGACGGAGCATTGGCAGGTCACCTCGGTGAAGTGCTTATCAGGTATGTTTCATGACTGGAACCCAAAATCTTTATTGTATAACCTGTCAGGCAAAGGTTATTTTTATTAATTACGTACCTTTTAGTTTCAGTAATGCTTCATCGGCTAAGATAGAGAATATTTTAAAGAGACGTTGCCAAGAATGAATCATACAGTGAACAAGTCCAGATGCGCAGCAGCTCAATGAAAGCTGCCTGATCAAACACAAGAACAGATCGTAATCTGAAGATTTTGGCTAATACAAGAAAACAACCCAGAAACTTTTTTTTAATGGCCTCAAGCTTAAAAACTCCCAACAACATAAACTAAGTTGTTCAAAGTGAAGGTCTCGGTTTTCAAAGAAATCAGCGGTGGGAAGTAAAACAACAAAAGTGTGATTAACAGTCTTATTCCCCTGCAGCCACTTCTGATGTGTAACGTGTGTGTTTCATTCCCCACAGGTGCAATAATGTTCTGTACATCAGAGGTGTAGAAGAAGAGGAGGAGGACGGAGAAATGAGGGAGTGATGTTGGCGTCTGAGGGCGACTGTTCCTCGTAGAGTTGAGTTAATGTGTGTTTGTGTTTTCACCATGTGAAACATTTGGGGGGGGGGGGGGTCAGGGAGGGGTGTTGTTTTTCAAGCAGTTTTGAAAGATGAAGATTTTTTTTACTGTATATGAATTTTATGTTGTGACTTTGTGATACAGACACAATAAAGTGATTATTGTACCATTTCTTAAACCTGATTTACTGCTTTTAAAAAAAAACACCATTTCATTTTCAAATTATTACACTGAGCTCAAAATCGTATTTATTCTGTTCTTCAAACACTAAAAATAATCAGCATGAAATCTGTGAGTGAAAGAAACACCTCGGACCTAAACTAACAATTATACTGTTTATATTTTAAATAACAATTTCCCGGGTCATCTCGTTCGCAGATTGTGACATAGATAATTATTGATTATTGTAATGAATCCCTCCAGCCTCTTTCAATCAACTTTATTAACATCAGTCATATTACAAGACAGGAACAAAAAGAACCTCACAGGGAATATTGAAGATTTGTATTTCAATGTGTTTTTATCCGACAAGTTCTCATCTATTTTGATAATAGTAAACATAGCTTGGGTTGTATATTAACAATACTTGTATGTTCCAATATTAAACCTAATTACATAAGCTGTAAAAACATCAAGAAAAGAAATAAATCCATTTTAAATAATTGGCAATGTCTTCAATATTTCTTCTTGGATTTGTTTTGTTGTTTTTAAACACTCGTACAAAGTTATAGAAAGTGAAGTTTAATATACAGCATCAAAAATGACTAATAACATAAGACAAATAAACGAGGTAAGGACTTGTTTTGTACAAGGAACATCAGAACAAACATAGGAACAAAGACAAAAATTGTGAATGAACTCTTTTAAAAATATTTTCAAAGTTTGACTGTCCAACTTTCTATTGTAGAAATACTGACCAGTTAAAAGTCTGATCTGTGATGTGTGACAGAGGCCCCTCCCCTCTCTGTGCACTTTAAACTCTGCCCTTCCACAAATATTTGACTTCTCTCAAACCAGTTTGAGTCCAGTCGCCCTGAAGTCACTGTCTCTGCTTTGGATTAATAAAGAAAATGTCCAGCAGCCACAGACTCCTGGTGAACAATGCCCGACAGGTGGTTGTGATCTGCAGCAGTGGAGAGAAATACCTGACGGAACATGGGATGAAGAATCTGTGTGTGATAGAAAATGGAAGCGTGGTCGTCGGGAGGTGAGTCTCCTGAGACACAGTGTGAACTCAGTGATTAAACATGGAGCTCTGACCACAGAATAATCTGATCATCTGGAAGGATCCTGGTTGTCGGTGGTTTTCTGTGATTTGATGCTTTGCCGGCCTGAAGTAGATTTTTGTTTTCAAGATTAAATGAAAACTTCATCATTCCACAGTTTTAAATTCTGCCTGAGTTTATGAAATCTGACAGTAACTCTCAGCTCATTGCTGTTCTCAGATCTGTTCCTCAGTCGTGAGTCGCTTTGGATAAAATCATCCTCTACATGAGTCAATATAAAGTGTTGAATATAAATATAAAAGATCTGTGGTTGAAATTCAAGTTTGGAAAGTTTCCTATTTAAAAGAATAACTGATCACACAGTACTAGTATAAATTAATGGTATTTGGCGACTCCTAGTGGCTGATTATAAACTGCATTCATATTTTATTCCAATTTTACCAACACCTTTTGTCGATTTATATTTCTAATGAATCAATCCTGCCCTTTTCCAGGGTTTTTATAAAAAGTTGTTGAAATGATCCAGCCGGTTATATTTTTGATCGCCTTTACGCCACAGTATTTCAGGGTTTTCTGAAACCATCATTTAAATTTCTCTGCACTGTGGAGTAAAAATGTAGAGTTCATCCTGAGGATGTTTCCAGTGGAAATATCATGTGGTTATAAAAAGGTTCATCCTCTTTTCGGAGGCCGTTTCTGAAGCCTTTACACTTCGTCAACCTCCTGTGATTTTGAGTGAACGTTAACTGTTGAATGTCTCATGTCTTCATCCAGGGACGGACTGATTGAAGCTGTGGGACCTGCAGACGCCATCAGAGCTCGGTATTCAGAGGCAACGTTTGATAAAGTCATCGAGGCTTCAGGAATGTGCGTCATGCCTGGTGAGAAAAGCTCTTATTTATTCAGCGGAGACAAATTATTGTCAACATGTGCAACATTCTGGACTGTCTTCAAGTTGTGGTCTGTGACAAAGTACATTTACTTTTTACTCTCTTCATCTTGATTTGTCCCAGTTTTAATACTAAAATATGATGTTGAATAGATATGTTAGGTAGGTATGTTGTAATGTAAGTGCAGTTGTGGCCTCTCGACGCGTTTCAGATATTTCAAACATTTATCCTCTTTTTTTCTCCAGTAGTTTCATTTGAATAGAACTTATAAAAATTCCTCCATCTCCCATTCATGATCTCACAACCCCTCTCTAGTCTAACTTGGTGCTGGTAATATTATTATGTAAACGCTGCTTTAACTCAGATGCATCAGTATTAACAATGTAGAAAATTAACTTATAAATGTATCATTTACGTTGATAGTATTTGATATGAGTACTGGTGATATCTTTATTTATTTATTTAATTTGAATTCTGGATCTTAACAAAGAATTTGAATTCTTTCACTGCTCTTTCGTGTCTCATCTAAATCATTGATCAACATCTAAATAATCTTGTTCCAGGTTTGGTTGATGCTCACACTCATCCTGTCTGGGCTGGCGACAGGGTCCATGAATTTGCGATGAAGGTAAATAATCAAAAGTAAAATATTTAGACTTTTTTCGTGACCCCACTTCTTCAACCGCGTGTGAAGTTTTTGATGAAATGTGTGTTTCTCTGCTGCAGCTGGCAGGTGCCACCTACATGGACGTGCACCGAGCCGGCGGAGGGATCCACTTCACCGTGGAGCACACCCGAGCCGCCGCGCCCTCCGACCTCCTGGCCTCCCTCAGCAGCAGGCTGGTACGGATGCAGCGAGCAGGCACCACCCTGGTGGAGTGTAAGAGCGGCTACGGTCTGGAGCTGCAGACCGAGCTCAAGATGCTGGAGGTGATCGAGGAGGCCAGACGCACGCTGCCCATCAACATCTCCTCAACCTACTGTGGAGCTCACGCTGTGCCCAAGTACAGACTCCTCACACTGACCTCACTTCTTATCACACCCTGACATTTAAACCTAACGGTGTTTCTGTGTCATTCATCCAGAGGGAAGACGGTCGCAGAGGCCACAGACGACATCCTGCAGGTTCAGCTGCCTCGGCTGAAAGAAGAGATGTCAGCTGGGAACCTCCGAGTCGACAACATCGACGTGTTCTGTGAGCAGGGAGTGTTTGACCTCGGCTCCACTCGCTCCATTCTGCAGGCGGGAAAAGAAATGGGCCTCAACATCAACTTCCACGGTGATGAGCTCCATCCAATGAACTCTGCTCAGGTATCACTCGCTCCTCAAACTACTCATTCTTTTAGAACTCCACAGAAAACCTGACTTTACCCACCACATAGGATTAGCTTCATTATTTGTTATTTCCTCAGCCGAGGAGGTTATGGTTCAGCCTCTGACTGTTTGATTGTTTTTACAGCAGGTGGGGTTGGTAAAAGTGGAAAAACTATGAAGAGCTGGTTACACTTTTATAAAATGCAACGATACATTCCACCCCCCCATCGACCCTCTCATTAAAGCCACGCCCCAAACTTTGTTTTTGTGATGTTGATAAATCATAGTTTTTATCAGTGATGTCAGTAAATGAAAGTTGGGCTGTTGCTACTGATTATTTTCAGTACTGATTCATCTTCTGATGAACAAACGCTTGACAGTTTTTAGAGACTAAGAAATGTTATTTAGTTTGTTTTGTCAAACAATCATCCAACACTCAAAGTATTAAACTCACAAAGATATAAAACTCACATTTGAGATGTTGTGAATATTTGTCCTTTTTGCTTTGATAAATTATTTTATTATTATAGTAAAAAAGAATCTTGTCGTGTTTACGTGTGTCAGTTGGGCGCAGAGCTTAGAGCCTTAGCCATCAGTCACCTGGAGGAGGTCACAAACGAAGGGATTAACGCGATGGCTGAAGCAAAAACCGCTGCAGTCCTTCTACCGACCACAGCTTACATTCTGCGGTACACACACACACACAGACACACACACACACACACACACACACACACACACACCTGTCCCACGGCTGTGAAGTCTCTAATGACCCCTGTGTGTGTTTAGGCTGCCGCAGCCTCGGGCCAGAGACATGTTGGACGCTGGAGTTATCGTCGCCCTCGGCAGCGACTTCAACCCCAACGCCTACTGCTGCTCCATGGTGAGTTCAGCCGGAGGTGTGAGGTGTCTGCAAAGGTGAAAGTGCGAACGTTTATCTCTGCCTTCACTTTCTCTCCTCTCCTTCCTCAGCCCATCGTCATGCACCTGGCCTGCGTCAATATGAAGATGTCCATGCCTGAAGCTCTGGCTGCAGCCACCATTAACGCTGCCTACGCCCTCGGACGCTCCCACACACACGGCTCCCTGGAGGTCAACAAGCACGGAGACCTGCTGGTCCTCAACACGTCACGGTAAAAATGTTCTTTTATTATTCTGTGTGTTTGTATTGTCTTATTTTTACTATTAAATTATTATTAATACGTTTAGAGTTTATGTCATGTAGAAATTTTAAGTACGTTTCCTTTTCCCATTTTAGTTTATACTTTTACTTGATATGTTTCAGTTTAACTTCAGTTGCGCTCCTCCGCTCCTTCACTGGTTACCAGTGGCTGCCTGCATCCATTTCAAAACACTAGTACTTGTGTACCGTGATGTGAACGGATCAGATCCAGTCTACATCCAGGACGTGGTCACACCTTACCCCCCCAGCCCGTCCACTCCACTCTGCATCTACCAATCGACTGGCTGCTCCCTCACTGCGAGTCAGCCACTCAACAAAACACGACTGTTGGCTGAAAGTCTATACATCTTCCGCAAATACATCTCTTCAGACTACACCTTAGATAAAAACTAAATAAATATTTAGTTGCACTTGTAGTGTAGTATGGCGTCTTAAACATGATAAAAAAGTCATAGGTTAATATATCGTCCAAAATGTTGTAAAAAAGTCATAGGTTAGCATGTCGTCCAAAATTTGATAAAAAGTAAAGTTGTCCAAAATGTTGTAAAAAAGTCATAGGTTAGTATGTCGTCAAAAATGTTGTAAAAAAGTCATAGGTTAGCATGTCGTCCAAAATTT